GGTCATGGAAAACACAAAAGATTTGAATGCTAGAAAGCTTGAACGCATATGGGAAGGACCATATGAGGTGACCAAAGTCTTTGGAAAGGGAGCTTATAAGCTTAGGCACATTGAAACAGGTCAGTATATGCCACGCCCTTGGAACATAATTCATTTAAGAAAGTACCACATTTAGCTTGTCATGTTTATGTTTTTCGTATTTAAATTTCTGTTTCCAACAATGTTGAAGGGTGAATACCTTTTTGTCTTCCTTCTATGTCAAAGGGTGTATCCCTAGATGTCTGCTGACATCTCCTCATTCTATGATAAATAAAGTTACACTTCATTAAAGTCTAAAGCTAAAGAGCATGAGCCATGGATTGAGGATCAAATCAAGATCGAAAACATAAGATCGAGTGGGAAAAGAAAACCCAAGATCGGATGGGCAAAGTCCCAATCAAGATCGAAAATCTAAGATCGAGTGGGAAAAGAAAACCCAAGATCGGATGGGCAAAGTCCTAATCAAGATTGAAAATCTAAGATCGAGTGGGAAGAGAAAGCCCAAGATCGAATGAGCAAAGACCAACCAAGATCGGAAATCCAAGATCGAGTAGTTAAAGACCTGATTAAAAGAAGAAGTCAAGGTTGAACGGTTTAAGAACAATAACGAGAAGGTGAATCTTTGCAAAAAATGATTTTCCTCCCTGAACACGTTGTGTGTTTGCCAATGAAAATGGAGCATTATGTGTGCAAAAATAAAAGCTCAAGCAGTGGGACATTGTTTTTCCAACCCGTAAAAGGGAATATCTTTTATTTAAAAGAGGAAAACCTCTTGGCCTTTGGATACATAGTGCGATAAAAAATAAAAAAAAATAAAAACGAAGAAAGAAACCTACTAGTAGAAGGTGAAAACAAGGACAACATCACTACTAGATATCCTAATAGTGGTTGGACCTAAGGGCCTAACTTATTACGAGTAAGATGACATATAGTCTAATGGGGTGGGGAGACTATCCCAGTTTATGGAAGGAAAGGTCACCTTAGCCTTGGATGCAAAATAATGAATGCCTTGTTTAAAACCCTCATGTATGCCATCTGAGTGAGCAGCGAACACAGCACGATCGGCAGCCATTAATTCCCCTCTGATACGATCTACTTGGTGTTCAGCACGCTGTAAATATCCCTTTAGAGTTTCACACTCGTCCAATAACAGGGAGTAGTCAAAGCACTGGGGGCAATGTGGGTGGCGAGGGGAAAGTGCGCGAGAAGGACCCGCTTCATCTCTTACATAAGGGTCGGGAGAATAAGCGATAGAGTTAGGAACCCGAGTTGCGAAATTCATCATCGGAGAAATCCTTCCACCGACAATGGAATCTGGATTCACGAAAAGTGTCAGGAACTTCAGAAGAGTGAGAAGTCCTCATTGGCGAACGAGAAGAGGAACTAGAGCATAGCTCGATAACGTTCCTAGAGCCCTTGGAACCCCTCCGGGAGCTTCCTTTTTTGGGCACATCAACACAGAGCCGGAAGTTGAATTTCACTCTTCAACTGTTAGCCATAAGATCTAGGTACTGCTTACTTGTTTTTGGCTTACTTACTCTTAAACATCTCTTTATATAGAGACATGTCGAAGTTGTTACGAACAAGAATTCAAAATATAAGATGATAGTATCTTATCGAGATAAGTTAATCACTCGTTCAAAAACTCAAATATAAGGATAAAGGATATTGCTTTCATTTAATTAAAACTGAAGATCGGCAGGAACAGACTGAGCGATGGAATAGCAAAGGCCCAACTTGCGAATGAAAAATATGCTAAGATAGAATAAGTAAAAGTGGGGAGACATAAATACAAACACAAATGGGTTTAGCCCATGAGGACAGTTCACGCGATTGCATTAGCTACTAAGCACCAAAACGAGTGTCGGACTAAAAGCTTCCAAAGCTTAAACCAGAAATGGGTCCGGAATTAGTAACAAATCCGCTGCCTAGGATAGGATCAGAAGAAGTAGATTCATCAGAGGGTCTCCAGTCCTTAGGATCCAACCCTTAGTTTCGCTCATATCCGCTAGGCTCAATCCCCATACGATGATTATACACATCAGGATCAGCTACAAAGCGGTGTTTCGAACGTTGCTGGCTTTGCACCCAACCAAATCTGAAGATGGAGGCCATCTCCTTGCGTATCTATTGCATATTCATTTTACGCTCGGTGGTCCTCACTTGCCTGACCTCGGCCAACTCTTCCTTCGTACGGCGTACCTCAGACGTCGCAGTATCACGAACTCCTTTTAAATCTGCGATCTCCTCCTCATATCCGTGAAGTCTAGTTTGGCACTCTCTGACCTGCTGATGATTAAGGCTAAGGGATTCCAACTTGGCAGCTAGTCGATTGATTTTTCTTTTTGGAGTAGAGCCATCTGAAAACAACGGTAGGGATAAAGCTCACAGAAATGATGAGATGTGCAGAGAATGAGATAATACCTTCATAAGGCAATGAGATTCATAGGAGTTGAGATCATTATCGAGCATTACCTCAAAGCGACTGACGTCATTAGGATATGTCAAGCCTCTCGCCACAACGATAGCAACTCTTGTATTATCCCATAGATTATCGCCAAGAGTGACGAAGCTCCCATCTCTTTTTGTGAATTCAGGTCTCCAAGCTTAGATAAATTATTCGAACTATTGCCGCTAATCGAGCCAAAGGTGGGAGAAGCTGATTGCCATTGCATAGGTCTAGAGGTTGTCGGCGAACCACGCCTGGACTTTTTGGGCCTAACCGTTAAAGGACGTTTGTTTGACCTGCTTGCAATTTTGGGCACTGGAAGATCATGAGGAGGTGATGTAACATAGCGAGGCAGAGGAAGTTTAAAATGCAGTGAAGCTATAGTAAGAGAATAATTCGAGTCGGAATCCGTGTCCGTTTGCCCTGTCTCCTCATTTTCTTCTATTTCATCTTCTTCTTATGAGCCCTCCGTTTGGGAGTCGGTCACAAGTACAGGAGACTTTACGTTGAACTGAAGCTCAAGGTCAAAAGCGAAGATAGATTTAAGTAAGGGTCTGGGGGCAACAACCGGTCGACCAAATAATACTGGAAGTAAATGATGGAGTTGCGAAGAGAGGTGATTTGAGAAAAAGTGTCAGCAACTTCTCTAGAGCTCCATATCTTCCTTGTCACAAACCTCTTCAGCCAACATTTTCGGTCATTGGAGATTATTTGTTCGGGACCATTCGATAAAGTTGCGAAAGAAGCTCATGGTAAGTTATGTTTGCATATTTATGGAAAAATTAATAACAAAGATAAATTTATATACCAGGTTTAGGACCAAAAGTAGAAGGGATAGATAGTTGAGACAGCTCGGGAGCCCTCCAATTCCCCGAAATCAGAAGAGGGCGGTTCTTCCAATCTCTAGCTCTCGAGGGATCCAATGACAAGAATTTCTTACGATATCTAGGTTTAAAATTAAAGAAACTAGTTTCACCCTTAATGGTAGTCAAGTAGAAGAGATAAAGGAAATCTCTAAAACCTAAGGATACACCTAGCTTCAGACCCAATGCCAGGAAGGTCAACATAATCAAGTAAGAGTTCGGGTTCAGTTGCATAGGGTGAGTATTTGTGAAGAATAAGATGAGATGAATCATGGGGTGGAGCGGGAAACTAATGACCCTTAAGTGGTCCGCAAACAACATGGTAGACCCAGCTGGGATACTGGAGCCCGAATACATGTCTGCTCCAGCAGGGAGTGGGCTGAGGTGTACGTCATCTAGAGCATGACCTTGGTCACAAGCCTTGATGATTTCAAAGTGTGGTGGAATACCACCATATTTAGACCAAGGTGTATGCCTTGACATGAGAAACGGGGTGGGGGACTTGTTGGCCGAAATTGATTCGAGAAGATAAAAAGAAGAATTTGTATCCGTAAACGTAAGTGGAATCCCTTGTAAAATATTCCCCCAAGAGGGATTTGAAATAAAAAGTTACCTGTAAGCCAAGAGCCCACTCTGAAATGAGAAATCACAGGCTTGATGGAGAAATTGAGCGGAGGAAGTGAAGAAAAGCAGGGATGGAGAAACCAAAGGTAATGAAACATATATATATATAGCCTGGTGTGCATAGAGATATATACAAATACATGAAAAGTACGTACATAGATCAGCATGTCGGTATGCAAAGATATGCACATATATGTTGCTCGTAGGTGTGCCTATATAGGATTATGTACCTAGGATTATGTACCTAGACATATAGATATATATATATATATATATATATAGAAAAGTAAGTGTCAGTGTCGATATCTATATATATATATAGGCTAAGGCAAGTGTCAGTGTCAGTGCATATATATATATATGTATGTATGTGTGTGCGTCTGTATAAAAGCAGATGTGTGTGCAGACTAGGCGTGTTCGGGAAGGGAGACGCGCTTTTATTTTAGACTTCTGCGCTGCAGCTGTTGCTTTCGTCAGTTCGACGAGATGGGACAGAGGTTTGTATAATAGATACATATATGTATAGCCTTTCAGACAACCATCACAGTTAAATTTTGTCAGTCAACGTTTGTAAATCTTGTCAGTCCAACATTATCCTATTAAAACTGTGGCTTTGTAGGTATCGATTTCTTCATTCCCGAGGCTCTTGACGAGCCGTTGAAGGCCGATGCCAAGCAAGCGGTGCTGGTGGTGAAAACTCAAATAGCATGATGGGTGAGTAAAAGAAGGGTATTCTCGAATGTCTAGTAAATTATTTTTCAAGTGCAAAAACATGTGAGAGTAAATTCGGTGTCCAAAGACAAAATTTGGTTGTACTGCAAACCACACTAAAAAAAAAAAAAAAAAAAAAAAAATTACTCACAAGTCGTTAAGGTCTTGCACCATTTCAGCACAATTCACATGGCTCAATGGCCCATTATTATATCTTCAGATTGTTTCACATTTTTCCTTAAAATTCATGTTCTGTTCTCAAATTATATTTTTTATAAAACTTGCACAAACACATTAAACTCGACAATATAACACAATAGGTAAAGTGGTGTAAAATATATGTACTATATCGACCTAACACCAACAATCCACTTACTTTCTCAAAGGAATTATTCATTCTTAAATTGCCTCCTCCAATTCTTGGGTACAATATTTCTTACAAACATTACATTTCTCATTTTCTACAACACATATGTATATAGAACACATGCGGTATACCAAGAATTCCTCTATCTAATTTGGAAATTGAGTATCTTTATGCAATAGGCAAACATGAAAGCAAAGAAGAGCGCGAAGCCAACAAGAACTCCAGCAACTGGTCCCATGAAATTTGGATTATATCCAAAATAGTTTTCTACATACCATTTCACAGTTGGGTCAGGTGTTAACCCAGGTGCTTTAATGGTGTCCTCAACATCACCATATTGTGACACAATCAATCCATACACCGTCCACGCTACCGGGCATATCCAGTAATACCAAATCCACCACTTGGGTATTTTCTGCAAATTCAAAAGTTCAAGCCGTCGTGTTAACAAAGGTTTATAGTGAGTTATGATCACTTGGTCGACAACTAACCATGGTAATCAACTGTCGGATCAAGATTCAGTTCTTTATATTCAAAATTTAGTTCTCGAGAATGTATTTTAGTTGCCTTTTGGAATTAATTAATGTGATCCAAATCCAAATCAGTTGCTGATCCTGGATATCACAGTGAATGGTGACTAAGGGATCATAACATATCATTTATAGCTAAATTTGAAATAGCTTCTTGCAGGAAGAAGAGTACCCTTACCGGTCTTGGTATGAAGAAACCCGAGAAGAGGTTGAAGAATGAATAAAACGTCGATGCCAATATGGCTGCTACTTGGTGGTTTGGTGAGATGGCGACAGTCATCATTCCGTAATATGTGAAATAAAGGAATGAGATGAAGTTGACAAAGAAGAACCAGAAGAATTTTTCCGCCGTCCATTGAAAGCTCACCATAGCATACACAATCAGCACATAATATACAGTTTGAACAAACACATATGGTATTTCAACAACAACCTGCATGCCATAGGGATGATTTTTAAATCAATGACATCGGATATCTAAATGTGACCGAATGCAAGGATATCTACTTATATACGCTATAACCCCTCAATGTACCTGTGCTAGTGCATAAGGTAAGGCAGAGTACATCCCAGCAGCTCGTTCTCGATAAAATACTGCTCTTTCAGTGGCGACTACCGGCTGCACTGTTGAGCAGTTATTAATTCCAATGGAAAGTACAGCATTATACATGGCTCCAATAATCATGGTCAGGTCAGCTGAGCTTTCTCTGAAAGTTAAAAGACAATTCTAGTTGATTGAGGGTCTACATAGACTCTTGAATTTGTAAAGTCACGACTCACGAGAAGCAAGTCGATCACAAACCTTTTGGCGCCAACCTTCCAGAAAATAGATCCAACCAGGAGGGCAGAGGCAAAGGTAAAAAAGAACCTAACAAGGATATAATCAGGACTTCTCCAGTAAGTCCACCAGTGCTTCCAAAGGCAAGATTTGAACTGCTCCCACATTGATTGAGAATACTGAGATGGAAAATACAGATCATTTGCTCCTGGTGGTGGTATGCTTAACTCTGTCACTAAAGCTTTGTTTCTCCTGGTCATATGCCCAAAGTCAGCCAAATCCTATAATCTACACATTTTGTTTTTCTCTAGGGTTTCTTTTTGACTTACTGGTACAAGGAAGATGACTTGTAGTGTTGAGCAAAGTCGATTTCAACCCGGAGCTCAGTTGCTGCCGAACTCACCTCAAGCATCCATGTTGCTGGATTATACTTTTCTTTAATTTTTGGAACACCAGGAACTGCCTGCAATAGGTCAATGAATGTGTCCTTACGTAGTAATTCATTCTTTGTTTTTGTACAACATTAAGATGAAGAAATATATTTTGGGCAGGTAAATACCTCAAAATATTCCACGACCTTGTGAGAATTGCGGCCCAATGGTCCGGAGTATATCAACTGTCCTCTCTTCATGAGTAGCAGTTCATCAAAGGCCTCAAAGATATCTATGCTAGGCTGATGAATTGTGCAGACAACTGTTCTACCAGTGTCCACCGTATTTCTAACCACCCTCATAACAATGGCAGCTGCCCTTGCATCAAGACCTGACGTTGGCTCATCCATGAAAATGATCGAGGGATTAGCAACGAGCTCAACTGCAATTGTCAACCTCTTTCTCTGTTCTGTTGATAACCCTGTAACTCCTGGAAGCCCCACTAAAGCATCTTTGAGACCGTCAAGCTCAACCAGTCCCATCACTTCATCTACAAAGGTCTGAAAACATAACAAAACAAAGGGAATGCAGTTTTGGCAATCAAATAATCGTGCTATACATTGTTCAGAAAAGTTTTCCAAGTCATAAGTTTTACCATCTTTTCCTCTTTGGTGACTTCTTTAGGGAGCCGAAGGAAAGCTGAATAAATCAATGAATCCTTGACAGTGACTTGGGGTGAGTGGATATCATTTTGTTCACAATAACCAGAAATTCTGGCAAAGGTTTCTTGTTTCTTAGGGTACCCAGAAATTCTAATATCACCTTCAATGTAGCCACCTGTTTTTCTTCCTGCTAAGACATCCATCAAAGTTGTCTTCCCCGCCCCGCTGACTCCCATTAAAGCTGTCAAGATCCCAGGCCTAAAGGCACCAGTTACTTCACATAGTAGCTGAAGCCTGTCCTCTTTTACTCCTCCTTCCTTCATTTTCTGTCAGTCAAACGATAATTACACCAATAATGTTTAGAATCACAACTAATCATTTGAGATGAATAAAGAGTGCCATTGGGGAAAAGAAATATTACGAGGGGCACGTCCACATAGTAATTAACACTGTCGAAGGACATTGCAAGAGGAGTATAGGGAAGAACCATTCCTCTCTTTACGGTAACAACATTTCCTGCTTCAAGAGACGAATTAGCATTTCTATCAAGTCTATTCGCATTTGATCGACTGCCCAATCTCCATATTTGCATTTCTCCTAAAAGATTATTAGGCCTGGTGTCATGGATAATAGTACGTTCACATTGCATAGCTAGAATTGTGAGCATTGTTTTGTTTCTTACCTGAATTGTTTCCATCAGAAGAAGATAATGATCGAAAAATTGGATCTGTCTTTAATTTGGGTCTTCTGAAATTCTGGTCATCCTTCGAGTCTTCTTCATCTGCTCTTATTTCCGCTGCTACTTCTTCAGATATCATAGGCTGTGGCTTTCCAAGAGCTAACTTATTGAAATAATTAAGGGCATAAAAAAATGTCACCTCAAAACTACAATTAAAGCAGATAGTCAATGTTACACCATTACATAAAAAAAGTAATGTGTACTCTTACGATTCAGGTACATAAGTACGAGTGTGAAAAGGATGTTGAAGAAAACTGCAAATCCGACAAGAGCTGCAGAGCCAATCCAAACCCAGTTTCTGTCAGGGAAAACACCAAAGTTCTCAAGCACTGCCACACCCAATCTGGTGGCATTATCTGAAGCCTGCAGCATATTAAAGTTCATTTCAGGAGCTACCCTTTATAAAATCAATCCAGGTTATTATAGATGTATGGCAGGGAGCAATTAAGCGTTACCAGTTTGTTCATCCACCTCGGTGCAAACATTTCGTTTACAGTAAGAGCATTGAAGCCATATGCCATAGGTGAAATCCAGTAGCTCCACACCCACCACTTTGGAATTTCACCTGTCACACATAAAACAACTCTTTGACTATTCTACGAGGTACTAAATTTTTCTTTTCACCTGTTAGCTGCCACAACTCATATCGAATCTGCTACCTATACGTACTTAAAGGTTTTTTTTATATGAAATAAACCAAGAATTCTGATTAAACAAAATAGAGATAAGCGTGTGCGCACACACACATATGTGTGACCACAGTTACAAAACTGTATATATCATATTGTCTTCTAAGGTTGATAAATATGGTATTCAATTCGGTACTGACCTCGAGGAATTAAGAAACCTCCAAGTATAAAAACAATCATCAGACTGATACTCCCGCCAGTGTTGGAAATGATCATGGTCCTGCAGACTCCAGCAATAAGCCTAAACATCCCAGCAGCCATTTGTTGGATCAGAAAAAACAGCAATAGTTGGTTGAAAAATCTGCAAAAAAGTGACAGCTGCAATCAGAATCTCGAAGAGTAACAAGTCAGAGACGAAATTAAGGGAAAAAAATGTAGTACCTGCTAGCTTCAGGTGCAAACCCAATTGTGTAATACGTAATGCCAACCCAAATAGTGGATTCTAAAAGGGATATAGGAATCCGGAGTAGGACACATGGGAGAGTGAAAGTCCATGCTGGGTGGAAAAGAAGGTCTCTGTGCTTGTAAAATACAGGGAGTCTTGCAATGGTCAGTGAGAGCTCAGAGAAACCATTAAACAAGTTAGTGACCAGGGAAAATATAATTGCACTGATAAACAATGCACCATCATTTTCATTTTGGGTGTGCATTTGGCTCCTTAAGAATACGGTAGTTGCTACAATTGCCACTATACTAATTTGGACCATCTTGAAAATGTAAACGAAAGAGTTTCTTTTTATCAGCAACCATTCCTTGGCAAAACAGGCCTTGAGAAGTTCCAATTTGGGTATTGAATATCTTGTGAAAACAAGGGCTGCTCTATGCCCTCGTGACTTATTGTAAGGGATTGAGAGCTCATTCTGGAGACTGATTCCCACATGGAACCGCTTGAACTGGTTTGCGAATTCAGTGACTGATATGTATCGGTATGGCTTGCTTCTGTCAGCCCAATATTGCTCTTGGTCTTTCCTTGAGGTTACCTGAAAAAGTTGATCAAAAAAATTTAATCAGTCTAACATTTTCTCAACTCGAACTCAGCCAAATTTAACTGTCTAAAATGTCAGGCCTTCTCTCCTCGTTACTTCTAATAAGATGTATCACAACCTATGTACCATTTTAAAGTGAGACCTATCAAGAAATTACCTCTTGTAAGAACTCAGCAATTCCCTTTCGTTCGGGGCATCGAAATCCACAACTATCAAAGAACTCCAATATATGCTCGCGTGGCCCCTGGTAGACAATATGGCCCTTTGACAAAAGGATGATATCGTCAAAGAGATCAAATGTCTCGGGAGCAGGTTGGAGTAGGGACATCAAAATTGTGGCCTCGGTAATGTGTACGATTTGCTGCAAGCACTTCACTATTTGATATGTCGTAGAGCTATCTAGACCCGTTGATATCTCATCCATGAACAATGTTTTTGTAGGCCCAACAATCATCTCACCTGTATTGACTCATATATATATCTACCTTGGGATTTTATTGTATTAAATAACATTGTTTTCCATCAGCGACACTATTAGTTCATATCTAATCCGTATTATATATTGAACCTCTACTTATTAGCAAGTTCATCACAATTAGAATTTTCTTTAGTGGCCATAACACAACAAGGAAAGGGTAGGAATTGACCTGTGGTTACTCGTTTTTTCTGCCCACCGGATATCCCTCTCTGCATCTCATCTCCAACAATTGTATCCTTGCATATATCGAGCCCCAAAATCTGTACAATATTAAATTGAAAACATAATCAAGAATTGTTGGATACCAAACAAAGAATTAAAACGATCAATTATCTCATTTTGAAGTTTGGTATTTACTTACTCTGAGAGTATAGTCAGTAATGAGACTACTCTCAACTCCTCCCATTGACGTAGCCTGAAATAAACCAGAAATCCAGAAATATAAGCTAAATAAATCATGCTTTTAAGCAGAGTTTAGGGATGTGGCATGAATATACGTTACCTTCATGAAAAGGTCAATATCTGCCTCAGGAAATATGCCAGTGTCCTTTTCTCTTCTAGCAAGCTCACAAAGAAGTTCTATGACCCGAAGCTTTTTTTTATTATAATGTTAATTCATTTCCAAAATTACATGAAAATAAAGGGCTCGTTAGGTATACATGATTGGATTGAAATGGATAACCCATTAAAGTAAAGGTATCTTGAAGGGAGAAATTATAAAATTATGACCGCCAAGAGGATAGGATGGATTACTCATGATGAAAACATATCCATTCCAATGCCTCTCGAAATAAAAAATCATTCACTACCACCTTCAATATACCTTGAAATTAGAGAAATAAACATTCCATGTCAACCATGTGTACCAAACGAACTCAAAAAGAGTAACCTAATTTTGACAATATAATGGAAGATATGGTTTCAGTTTGGTTCAGCTGTGGTTACCATATCGAGTCCCAACTCCTTGGCACCTAGCGGAAAAATCTAGAGTTTCTTTGACTGTCATTTCTCCTATATGAACATCATTTTGGCTAATATACGCAGATGTCTTCTGTGGCACAAAATCATGTAGCCTGTACCCATTGTAAGTGATATCTCCTCTGACCTATTCCGGATCCATAAAAGTACATTGAGTTGTGATCAAAAGTTAAGCTAATTGATCAAAAACATACAATTGAGATGACCCCTGACCTTCAAGCTTGGCTCCAATTTCCCAGCTAGTGCCAGCAAAAGTGTTGTTTTTCCAGAGGATGGAGGACCTAATAAAAGGGTCATCCTAAAACAGAATTATAAGGATTACAATTACATAAAGTGTTATTCTCATGAATAATTTAATTAATATATCTTAACAGCTGAATAGAAAGATTAATTAAACTTGTGGGAACACAAGTTTTGACACCACCTTTGATTTGGTAATTCTAGCAAGTGTTCAACTAAGCTTACCTCGACGGTTTAACAATGCCAGAGGCATCTTTGAGAATTGTTTGATTTGTTTTTTTAGCTAATCTAATCCCAATTAAGCCAAGAGCCGATTCTGCAATGTTTCGAGTAACATTTGGGAGAGTGGGAAGAGCTCTGCTGCCAATATGGCTGTCGGCTTCAACTGTCAAGTGCTCAAACCTAACTTCTACAGTAGGAAGTTTGATACCCACCCTGAAATTAATTACAACATGAGGACAAAAGTTCATTAGGTACATGTATCAATTAGATGTTCCTATTTGATGTAACATAATTAGTAGGGTGAATGAGAAACTCATTCTAATTCCCCTTAGAATAAAAGAGTTGTCTGAAAGTTCTTTTTTACCTAATGTTTTTGGCTCTTAAGAAACTAGAACAGACTATACTACCTTTAAATACTACAAATAAAAGAACAATAAAATGAGAAAGTGATAGGAACTAGTCGAAAACTCCAAAATCTTGGATACGGGGAATTAATAAAAAAAAGCAAGTCAATCTATAAAACTTGAGAAAAATAGAATAAGGATTTGAACAAACCATTTTTCTCTCCCTACTCACCCTAGTTTCTTCCGACTCTTGTATTGACTAAATAAAAGGACAAAAGGTGTGCAGGGCCATGTCATTTTACAAATTAGAAGGAGAAAAAAATAGAAAAAAAATTGTTTTTTAATACAATGATATGTGTACACTATAGGGTGGGAAACTTAGGCTAAGCCACACAATAGGCCAACCATAATAATTTGGTTGTATTATTGTCAAACACCTCTTCCTTATAAGTAAAGATGAATGTTGCTAAACTGTATTACTAAGTCCTGCAAGAATACCAAACTTAAAATATAAAACTTTTTTTTCTTTTGACAAATGATAGTGTTACTGTGTTAAATTTTTAAATGTTAGGCGGGAGGATTTGTAGGGATCAAACCTGCACAAGGGTACATAGGTTATTTTTGGTTTCTGTGAGTGCGGTCAAGCGCCATATAAAAAAACATAAAACTAAATTAAGTACAGGGAAATTTTTTTTGTTTGTGTGCGAATCTACTTAGTGTATTTGATGCATATCTAAGTTTGTTTCCGATTCGGGAATAAGCCAATCACAATGGAAATAAAATGATATTTCCTGATTTTTTTTTTCTTTCCTAGCATTTCCAAACAATAAATACTTTCCCATAACAAAGGACATAAATCTTCTATTTCTCATTCCCTCATAAAGACATTGAGAATTAATTTCCCATTAATTTCTTTATGCGTACCAAACACTAACTTGCTCGACCTGTGCATAACACCGGGACGAGTCTATTGGTCATGAGTCATTACAATTAAGAAAGAGACGAGGGAAGAAAGAAAATGGGAAAGGACAATGAAACAAATAAAGCACCCAACATTTTGTAGTAGGCTAGTAGCCATATAAATAAATGAAATTAAAAAAAGGAATACTATGATAGTAACTGATTCAACAAAATGTTGGACTTAGCCGCATTTGAGCAACCATCCATAGCAATGCCATATATAATAACTGCAGTCCTAGTTAAACTTAAACAGACCACATTTATTCTTTGAAATTACATAAAATGACAAATCGAAGCATTTGCGAGGCATTCCATAACAAAGGTAGATTTAGATTACGTTGGAAGAATTCTAGGAGGTATGAACCCTCTGCGAGACATAGATGACACCAACAGATGGGTTTTCTTTTATTAATTAGGGTTTTGGAGAGAGGATCCATGTCGGATCCTCTTTGTGAGAATCTGGGAATCCTCCACTTACATTTGTTCATCGTACATTGTGCGGCCAGTTTTTGTCAGGAACGGTTTATATTCAATTTTAAATAAAAAAATTGCATACAAAGAGAATTTGGCGAGAATCTTTTGAGGGTATTTATAGGTAATTGGTGTGGGAAATAGGAATAGGGGTGGGAATAGCGCAGCATTGTAAATGAAATAATTTGATCTTTACTAAAGATAAAATAAGAACTTACTTATCAATTCTAGTTCTAAACTTCTTCAAGAACCTCTCATTGTCTTCCTCGGCAATCTTAAAAGTGCCGTCGATGAATTTCTGACGGTCGATTCGGTCGAGCTTCAGAACATCTACTTCCTTATGCACTACTTTGTTGTTGTTATTTCCTTGAGCATCGGTTTCCACAAAGGATTTGATGATGCTTGTTCTCAGCCGATTATATGTGGGCAGTCTCTCAATGGCAGCCCATGTCAGAGCTTCTTCTTCTTCCATTCGACTGTTTCGACGAGAGTGTGTGGCACTTAAAATCACATCCTCCACGCTTCTGCTGAAGCTACGGTGCCTTTCATACGAGTCCTTTACTCTCTCCGTTCCATCCATTATTTTTTCAGTTCCTCACCACACCTGAAATCTAACAAGTCTATTAGGAAAAATGGAACAAACCGAGGTGATAAATTAAAAAACAACAATGCCTCACTGGATTATACATACACCAAATTCTAGTTGTGGATTTCACAACCTTCCCCCCCCCCCCCCCCGCCGGGAAAAAGCTAGTAAAGATAGGAGATCATAAGAATATGTTTGACATTCGTTTTTTAATTTTCTTGTCAACCAAACAAGGGATTATGAAGAACTCAAACTCAAAGGAATGCATAGTTATACTTGTGTTTCATCAGTGACGAGGGTGATGAATTTGTAAGTGGTTACCTGTCTATTTCTTTGCAGTTTCTCCACTTCAACTCTTGGAAATTAAAATCTATCTGTTTTCTTGCAAGAAACGGAGATTCTGGAAACGGTGATCCAGACTACAGTGGACTGGTGCTGGCATTATTCATGTGTTGTATTGCATGGTCGCAATGTGTCAAAACACATATTACACCTGTCACCATCATTACAATTTTTAACCCACGAACGTGGTACCAATTAATTCTACCTACTTTGGTTTTGAGGCTATATATTCTACATCAGTGTGTGTGCATCCTTCTAGGATTGAACGAAAGTAGGAAATAAACCACTCATGCCACCAAAGGCAATATCAAGTTACATTTTGACAACAGATTGTGGTTTCTTTAACTATTGTTTGCAACTTTGTACCAAAAATCTACAATTTTACCTTTACTTGGTCTAAATAAGGCATGAGCCAGGTCATGGTTTCTTTATTTCACGAGTGAACCAGATTTGCACGATTCTAAAGAGGATTTTATGTGAGTTAAAGAGGTAAGAAGTTATAATTGGAGGAGTATTGAGCAGAATTGGAAAAAAAACCTAGTCGTACATAAATATGGATTCGTTCAAGTTAAGGTTTCTTGCTATAAATAAAAAATAGGAACTTTAGTTTAAGGAGGGTGTATTCAACTAGAAATTTAATATAATTATTAAACTTCCCGGATTTCATGAATTTTAATTTATTCATATAGAATCCGGTGAATTGTAAAAGGATTTTATTTGAATTTTGTTATGAAGTTTTGGTACGTCGGTAGGGCGAGCTGCCCTTAAACCAAAAAAGATTTGTAACCCTTCCCTTATTTCTGCATTTATTTCTCTAGCCTCAATAAAGGGGAAGCCTTCGCATTTTAAATTCATTTTTTTTTGGGGGGGGGGGGTGGTGGGAGAGGGGAAGCCTTCGCATTTTAAATTCAATTTTTTTTGGGGGGGTGGGAGAGGGCGCATTTAATTCTCTAGCCTCAATAAAGGGGAGGCCTTTGCATTTTAAATTCAATGTTTGGGGGGGGGGGGTGGTGGTGGTGGAGTGGGGGAGGGGCAAGACGGCTATGTTTGCCCCAGCTTGGCGAATCGCATCTCCGCGCAATGACATTGTGCGCCCCTTATCGTTCTGTCACCCCATTCATATTTTGAGACATATTACGTACACAACCATTTAAGAAAAATACATGAACATGATGTTAAAAGGTTAACAACATGCATATCTTCAAATTAAAGCGATTCATTTTTTTCAGAATTACAACGTTGATAAAATCGCTTACTACATGTCTTTGTCTTGCAAACTATAAAATCACAGAATAAAAAGAGAAAGACTTATGTAATCAAATTTGTCGTACTCAGAATGAAAATCATTGACACAAACATGTAGCATATAATACCTGGAGAAAGATTTTTGAAGAAGCTGTTCATATTTTGTAGTCGACTTTGAAAATAAGGAATCACATTGAAATATAGAAGGTGGGTGCCTGATTTGTGAGGACATTTGATATTTATACCTCGCATTGTAAAATGATTCAAAATCAACAAATTTATTGAATCCTACAAATTCCTTGACTTTTTAATTACTCTCTGATTTGGAAAATCACTTTAAAAATCTAGATTAAATACCACCAGATTTTGACTAACTCTTTATAAATCTAAATTGAATACAACCTGCATTTCATTTATTCAATTAAAATCTTAATTGAATACCCATAAATTTTCAAACTCTTTTAAAATCTCACATAATCCTAAGGGAAATTTTATTTAAACACATGTAACCTCTTTGTACACCCAACTTAAATTTTAAATGTTAATTGTCTATTTTACCCTATTGCATAATTACTATTAAGTACAAAATGAAATTAATACTAAAACTCAAATTTATCAATAAACCCAAACACTATAATTAAACTCTACGATCACTCTTTGTTTATCCTATGTTCATTCCGGCTAAAACCCTAATAGCTCTCATAGAGAAAAATAAGTTTTTTTTTATTAATTGATGGTGATTTTGAAGTTTCGAATCCTCCAACCAAGGTATGACTCAATTTATGAATTTTGTTTGTTTGATTTCAATTTTTTAGACTTTAAAGATGAGTATTTTGGTTTTAATTTTTTTTTCAATCAATCCCGCATAGTTTGTTTATCTTTCTGCAACAGCAAATTGTTGTAGTCACTCAACCAAAAAAAAGAAAGAAAGTGTTTCAATTAATATTAGAAGCCATGTTGAAATCGATTGATTGAAGGAGGAGTCCCTGCGTAGCTCCTGTGTCACATCCCGACCCGAGGCGGATCACTTCCCGGGCCCGCTTCCATTACCGTAGCACGATATTGTCCGCTTTGGGCTTACCATTCCCTCACGGTTTTGTTTTTTGGGAACTCACGAGCAACTTCCCAGAGGGTCACCCATCCTGGGAGTGCTCTAGCCCCCTTCTCGCTTAACTTCGGAGTTCCTACGGAACCCGAAGCCAGTGAGCTCCCAAAAGGCATCGTGCTAGGTAGGATGGGAATATACATTTAAGGATCAGTCCCCTGGGCGATGTGGGATGTTACAATCCACCCCCCTTAAGGGCCCGACGTCCTCGTCGGCACATTTCCGGCCAGGGATAGGCTCTGATACCAATGTCACATCCCGGCCCGGGTGGCACTACTTCCCGGGCCCGCTCCACTACCGTAGCACGATATTGTCCGCTTTGGGCTTACCATTCCCTCACGGTTTTGTTTTTTGGGAACTCACGAGCAACTTCCCAGAGGGTCACCCATCCTGGGAGTGCTCTAGCCCCCTTCTCGCTTAACTTCGGAGTTCCTACGGAACCCGAAGCCAGTGAGCTCCCAAAAGGCCTCGTGCTAGGTAGGATGGGAATATACATTTAAGGATCAGTCCCCTGGGCGATGTGGGATGTTACATCCTGCTCCAATTCAATGCTTCTTCCTGATTCACGTACAGCGATCCGTCACTACCACCATTACCACTATCACCACCACCACCTTCTCTCTTGTCCTTTCCATCTTTTGTGCCGATTTTCTTTTTTTCTGTAGCTGATGTGAAACCCCCCAATCCTAAAAAAAAAAAAAAAAACAACTTCAATAAGACACAACCTAAACCCTACCTAATTTATTAATTAACCAAAAATCATCATGAATAAATTTTAAGCTCATCAATTTATTCAAACTTCCAATCTCCTTTCATATATGGCCTTTTATCGAATTAAAAAATAAAAAAGGGGGAACTTGAAGAGAAAAAAAAAACCAGAACAATGCACCCGTTGATCGATAATGCGAAGGGAGAGATGGTGATACATGGTTTTTGTCAACATTTATAGAAGTGTCAGTCTTGTTGCTAGCCATGGCTGAATTCACATCCCAATTTTCAGTGTTCATTTCTAGACGATGTAAAGATAGAGTTAAAAATCAAATGGGTGTAAAGAAAAATCTACATATTGAATTGGGTTTATGGGGTTATAATAGGTAATAAATTTGGGTTTAAAGAGATATTAATAGTTTAGTTAAAAATCAAATGGGTGCAAAGAGTAAGTTGGGTGTAGAAATAGGTTACATAGGTTTAAATAAAATTTCCCTAATCCTAATTGAATACAACCTTAGAGGTTAATAAATAATTTTATATTTCAGAATAATTTAGCATCAATAATGGAAACAATTTTTCATTACAATTAAGGTCAATATAAACAATCACTACCACCAAAAAGACACTTAGGCAAACAAAATATAGGCAAACGAAATAACTTTGTTGGCTAAAAGCTTCATTCATCACTAGAGAGTTTAGGAGATCGAGGTTCCTTGGGAAAGAATAGTTGGGCAAAAACCGTCACCCGAAATCTTATATGATGAATACACAATTCCGTCGGACAAATATACGTTAATCCAACGACGTGCGTTGATCAAATTGACCCAATGGAGTCCACTTGCCTGAAGAATGATATGTCGTCGGCTAGCACATAATTAAATAAGGTATTGAGCTTAACCCGATTGCTGAATCGTTGGGAAAATTCTACGGAACCAAATTTAAAATTTTGTTAATTTTTTTGTGAGACGAAAGGTTCGTCGGGCATTTTGTTTTTTAAATTAAAAAAAAGTAACGACACTGCTTATATTAAATAATGTATTTAATTCTAAATTGAAAAAAAAACAATAATTACAATAAAAAATGAAAAAATAATTATTTATAACAAAAAAAAATGTAAACTACTGTGGTGGCTGCTGGAGAGACACCTCTAGATCACGTGTCAGCTCCTCCATAAGCACGTTCAGTTGCTGTTGGGAGATGTTGGCGAGGTACTCATCCTTCTTCTGAATCATAAAAGCCCACAAAAAAAAAAAAAACAAGGGAAACAAAGTAAGATTATCAATCATAATTTAAACCTTTATTTATTGAAATGAGATTTACAATTAAAACATAGAAATGAATACCTACATAAATTTTGTTCACGGCCTCGTTGCCATAATTAGTGTTTGTCTCCCCCAAATCACCACCTTCTGGGAATGCTCCTCAGCAGCGCGTCGTTCCTCGACCCGGTAAGATAGGGGTTGAGAACGGGAATGGTGAAGGTATGACTTCTTATCCAGCTTACCTTTATTTGCTGCTAGCTTTTTCTGGCCATTAAAATATATTAATTTAACTTAACCAAAAAAGTATAAAAGCTACACTAAAATTAAAATATAAATAAATTTTGATTACCTAAATATTTTTTACTCTGAAAATGCTCGCAAAGCCACTACCACTCGGCCACCTTCTCCACAAACTCATGGGGTGGTTCTGTAAAAGCTGCCTCAAGCGTCGGAATACTGTCATAATACTTGTGCAGCTCGAACTTCAACTTCTTATACCGGCCACTCCACACCCGGTCTATGCAGTCGACATAAGCTTTGTCCTACTCGTTCCACTCGAAGTTGGTCTGAAATTTCGATAAAAAAACCAAATAGTTTAGTTTAAAACCACATAAAATAAGTTAAGGGGAAAAATGTCAAAGTAAGAATGTTATAGTATACTTACAGAAAGTTGTTGGTTAAACCTATGGGCATTTGGCGTGGGTGAGGATACACTCGCTCAGCGGTGCCTAGAAAGATATACAACTCGGATCCTCTTTTGTGTGACCAGAGTGATCCGGTTAATTGCCAACCCCCGACAAATCCCCTGCGATGTTTTAGTCCTCAGGTAGGTGGGGAGGTTTCCATCTCGTACCTCCTCTATGGCCGCCGAATCGGCCTCTGCGCTGCCTTGAGAGGGGTGGGATGAGGCGAGGGCTGGTGCTGGCACAAGATGGTGGCGACTACGGCTGTGGAGTTGCCTGGAAGATTATACGACCTGGATCAATGACGCAGATGTGCTTGCGCCGGTAGCCGACTCAGCAATGGCTGCCTGGGTCCTGCTGGCCGTAGAGTGGCACTGGGCCCACCGCACACCCTGAGTAGAGATGGAAGCAAGAACGGCGGCCACTTGTGATCAGATGCGAAGACATCTGTGAAATAACCACATAATTTCTAAAATTTCCTGAAATTTAAACAATTTAAAAATTGCCTAACATTGCAAATAATTTCTCAAATTTCCTAAAATTCCTCATAATTTCTAATGTATTTCAAAAGTTTCACATATTTCTAAAATTTAAAAATTTATTAAGTTGCCTAATATTTTAAATAATTTCTAAAAGTGCCTAACATCTCAAATAATTTCTAAAATTGCCTAACATTTCAAATAATTTCTAAAATTGCCTGGCATTTTAAATAATTTCTAGAGTTGCCTAAAATTTCAAATAATTTCTAAAATTTCAGATAATTTCTAAAACATTTCAAAATTTTCACATATTTCAAAAATTTCTTAAAATTTCACCACCACCGCCCCACTCACTCTACCCCGTTCCCGCTCACCACCTCACCACACCCCACCTCACCTCACCCACCCCCCACCACACCACCACCATCACCATCACTACCCCATGCTCACACCACTACCTTTGTGCCCGTTCACCACCACTACCCCATGCCAAACACCATCGTACCTTCACCTTCACCACTGTACATGTCCCCATACCCACCCCGCCCACAAATCACAAAATATTTCAAATCAAACCACACAATAAACAATCACAATTTCAACTGAAATTCTAACATAATCAATCCTTTAATCACAATTTCTTAACAATTCCAATAACTTTGAATTGAAAAAAAAAACTAGGAGAGAGAAAGAGGGTTGAGCAAGAGGATTTCAGAGAGGGGGAGAGAGAGAGAGAGAGAGAGAGAGAGAGAGAGAGAGAGAGAAAGCACTTGTAGAGACTTTGCACTGCATGAAGAGGAAGAAAGAAGAAGGTTTTGGGGTTATAACATTTTAAAACTTTGCTCGACGAAAGGTTCTTGGAAACTATTTCGTAGAATGATTGTCCCTTTGTAAAGAATGAATTCCAAAACACTTAGAGTTTATTTAATACTTCCATTGAGTACATTGTAGTCTTTCATGAATAAATGCTCAGCCATAGAGTTTAGAGCTTTAGAACCCATTACAAAAAACTGAGAAAATAAGAGAAATTTAAATCATATCAGCTAATGATGTGATACAAGACAAACCCGATTTCGCACTACCTCATACATTTGTTGGGGATTCCAAAACACTTAGAGTTTATTCTATACTTTCATTAAGTACAATGTAGTCATTCGTGAAAAAAGGCTCAGCCATATGGTTTAGAGCTTTGAAACCCATGACGATGGTATTTTCTCCCTGTACTTCCACATGCAAAACATCTGACTAACTTTTGGTTATCATCTTCTTCGCCACAGAGAAATTAATAAATACTCCACATGACTATCCTTATATCATTTCAAACTACTAGTTCTAATATTATACTAGAATTATTATAGTTGATGCAAACCCCCACAATTAGCTTCCCCTCCTTACTCTAATCGTACTTACTACTCTGATTTTTACCACCAATACTACTCCCTAAACCTCCATAATTGAAGGTGCACCTCCTATCCCTAACTAGCCGTTGGGGCCAAGGCACCATCATTTTCTGGTAGTGGACCCAGGCCACCATAGTCATGCCTTTGCTACTGCTATTTCTCTTGGATACGTGGAGACTTTGTTCAAAGTGGTAAAAGGGTAGGGTTTGGATAATGGAAAAATGGGTATTGAAGCAAAGAAGAAGAGGAGAAAGAGGAAGAGGAAAGCACGGAGGAGAAAGAGGAAGGCACATATTTATAATTGATGAATAGGAATTTGCCAACGAACCACTTCCTCGGGTAAGTACAAGGAAAAGGTCGAGCAAAGATTGTGTCTGTGGATAATTATTATACGTCATTCTAGGCTTTTGACACCAACAATAGACTTAGCCAATGAACACTGTTGTTGGGAAAATCCTACCTAGTCGATGAAGACAGGGTTCGTCGGGCAAACCCCCTGTTATTGCATGCCATATTTCCCCTAGTTGAGCCAAAATGTTGCCCGAAGAATTATGATTTGCCTACGATTACCTTCCATCGCATAAAAGTTTTAAGTAAACCCTAAATGTTGACCATCTTTGCCCTTCCAACTGAAAAGTCTATCGGGTAAAGTCCATTTACCTAACAAAAATTGGTTTCATCGAGCAAATATCTAGTAGTGAATTTTTCTTCCAACTAATGTGTCATTTCATATCTCTCTTAAGTGACTCCTCCTTAATATCACAAATTATTTTTTTATGTAATGTATGAGGAAAATAATGTCACACCTCGATCCCGACATACGTCCAGGATCAAAGCGCGACACTCAGGTGTAGGGGTGCAAGGAAATACGAACAAGATATGCAAAAGAAGACATAATGAAATTCGCAATAAAGTAAGCTGGTGAATAACAAAAATTTACGAAAGGTGTATAACAAAAGTTCATAACCCTCACTAGATACAATGCTTGTAGACTCCCAAAAGTGGTAACCCAAAAGAAATACAAGGAAAGGTACAAGGTTAACCTAGTCACTCACAACACTCTAACCCTTGACTGTTACCCAAAAGCTCCCCGTGTCTACTAAGCTCTGTCACTTGCACAATCGCCCCTACATCGTGAGAATTGTGCATTGGAAAAATCAATAACCTAGATAAGATGCGAAACTCATGTGAGTGACAATAATCCAATGTATGTGATACTAATAAAACAAATTCATCGGTCACAGTTTAGAAACAATTTGGTAGACAACTCGAAGGAGCCCGTAGATACCCATTCGATTTTTTAAATCAAACCATAAAGGTTTTCAAACCTATAGTTCATAAATACGCTAAAAACTAGGGTTAGAGTGACATAGTTCGGCTGAAACTTACTCATAAGTTTTCACATTCTAGACCAACTCAAAGGAAATTGAAGAGGAAGATGGATTCTAGACCACTCAACGGCCCTGAAACGGAAAAGGGATTCCGGATCACTCAACGAAATCCAACGAAGATAGGATTCTGGGCCACTTAATGAAATCGAAATGGGAAAAGGATTCACGACCACTTAATAGAAATTGAATGAAACACGATTGCGGACCAGTTAACAAAACTGTGTAAGAAGAGGAATTCTAGATCACTTAACGGAATCCAGACGTAGTAGGGTTCCGGACTACTCAACGAAATTCAAGTGAAAGACAGTTCTAGACCACTTAACAAAACTAGACATCATACAAGTTTGATGTCACAACTCCCCCTAACAATGAGATAACAAACCATTTACTAGCCTTCATGATCACAAACATTTGAAACGTGTATAGCAACCACATTTCATAAAAATAGATTGATGACTGAATTTAAAAAGCAATATTTAGTAGAAAATGCATTTTGTAAATCCATGCCATATCCACTAAGTATATTCACATGAGAATTTCAGGGTAATAATCAATGTCACATATATTAAAGTCAATCACCTAGAGTCCGCGCAACAGCACCCTAACACAAAGATCAAGGCGCTCTTACACAATTAGTGCCTAAACAAAGAACAAGTTTTGTCTTAGAATTATAGTGATAAAACATTCAATTCTCGGTTGTACATGTTGTCTACAACATTCTTGATAGATTCACCACACGTTGACCAAAAGTCAATCCTCGATCAATGCAGTTAATGGTTGGGTCCATAACCTTAGTAAATCAATCCAGAAGATTGGAACATTGGATTTGTGATCCGTAACTTCTTAATAGCCTCATTATGCTTCCACAACAACATACTAAAAATTCATGACGATCCGCAAGTCGTAAGTATAAGTGGTGGCAAACTAAGAAACTAGGCTAAAACAGTGGAATTACACTAAATAGATGCCAAAAATGGATTTTGGGCATTGAAATTAGCATAGAAAGACATTTTGGGTCACCGGTTAGGGGCCATTGCTAAGCACCGCCATGCACCACCACAGGCCACGGCCACACGCCCTTACACTGCTCGGATATTGCTTCTAGGATGATGATGAGTCGACTATTGACCACGCTCTTGTTCAAAACCAATGGGAAAGGGTTGAAACCTCATCGAAGAAACTAGCACGTTACTGGGCTCGTGGGTTAGACAACGTCTCCATGAATCTAGCTAAACAACGAGTGTGGGGATGATCAGGGTGCTGAGTGAACATGGTGATGATGTTTCCAGGTTCCAACTCGCCTGCAAAAAGACGGCTTGCCTTCGTGTATAGCTCGGGAAGAAGAAGGACGTAGAAAGAGATAGAAGGAGAAGTGAGACCGATAGAAAAGACAGAAGAAAAGTCCAGAAAAATGGGGAATGGTCCCCATGTGGTGCAAACGCTAAGGCCAGAAGGGAGAAACAAAATGGGACCAATTATTAGTAAAATTACCAAAATATCCTTGACTTCTGAGTCTTCTAGAATCTTCGCTTTAGCTCCAAATTTTGCTTTGCTTGCGCCCACGCGTTCGTATCAACACGTACTACTCAAATATGTCAAAAAAAAAGGCAAAACAATAAAGAAGTTAAACTTCCACGTAGAACTACGCTTAGCCCAACTGGAGCATTTTCGTTCTTTTGCAAATTTCGAAAAAAAATTTACGCCAAAAATTAAGACGAGTCGTAACAACTGTGAAATATGAAATTTAAATATTGAAATCCGGAGATGGAATTTCATAAATAAATTAGTTATGCGTCATATGTGAGATTCGAACCTAAAACATTTCACTCACAAGTGAAAAAAAATATCAGCAGACCGTAGTTATAAATGACAGAAGCATAAAATGTTAGGCCATCTTCAATGTAGTGTCCAATTGAGTGTCAAATGTTAGCACACATTGATAAAATAAAATACCCATTTACAATAGAGGAACAAAATGAATTTCCAAAAAGAGATTTAGAGGCCAAAGGGCTAAAGAGCTTGCCATTTTGTAGCCTCTATAAAAGTTGTGCTAATAATGTTCAAGTGCCAATCACGTGCAAAAGGAGAAATTATTTAGTGCATTGAGAAAATGCCCGGTTCGCCATGTGTCATAATACAAGTGGTTGGATATTTAAAAAAAAAAATTCAATCACTTGTTTTATGATATGGTATGCAACGGGCCGCATTTCCGGCACACTGAAAAACCTTTTGTGCAAAAGAAAGAAGGAGCGGCATGGTCGTTGTGATCAGGTGTGGCGCAGCCCATCAATTATCACACACTTCAGCTTTTGACTCCCGCAAGATTAACTTGTTCATAGGACAAGTCAAATGGCAGCTTAGGTCTACGTGTCGTTAGAATTTATTATTAAAAAGAGAATTGTTATTGGCATTTCAAAAATCTTATTCTACATTCAAAACTTTCTATATTTGGAAAGAAAAATACACTTGTGAGAAGTGTAGAATGTGATTTTTTGAGTGCTAATAATACTTCCCTTAAAAAGCTAGTTTTGTAAATAAAACAAATATTATATTTTAGTGATGTTGTCTCCAAAGGTTGATACTTTTAATGTATTTCTTCTGAAAAAAATTATTCCAATAATTATATTTAAATACATAATATTAGTTTAATCAATTTAAACAATACATAATTAGTGAATGCGTGCCAATATACTAAAAAATATTAAAATATTCAGTAGACCTGACAATGTTGTGCATGATCTATTAACCGGACACGATATAGAAATAGTAGGTTTCGGGTGAATACGTTAATTAGGTGTGTGGTTATCGGATCACACGTTAAGGACTCGTTAATAATTTCTTAATAAGTTTATCTACAGAAGGTGGTTCGTTAAGATAAAAAGGAGTTTGGTAATTTTAAACTAAAGAAAACTAATGAAAAGGGTTTGAAAACTTTGAGTTTTAATGATAAGGACAAAATAAAGGGTAAAATAAATAGTACCAAGATTGATTTTTTAGTGTAAAAATGTGGTTTTTCGCTAAAATGAACAGTACCGTAACTTTTCGTTAAAACTCCCCTTAAACTATGCTAAAAAAACCTTACTACAATGGTCAAAGCCAGTCAGCAACGATCAACGGTCATGGTACTCAACTTTGACCCCTCATTATGAAATTTTTAATATAATTTGATTTCCTACAAAATATCAAAGCAGATTAAAAAAAATCATAATAAATATAAAAGCGTGAAAATGTGAAAAAATTATGCAAACACTCGTGACCGCATTATCTACACTTTGACGATGAGTACATCGTCATTTGAATTTTTAAAACCTCTAAACCCTTGAGAACAGTATTTTTAGATGGAGTTCAAAATAAATAAAAATTCATAATAATTAATGTACAAGTGTGAAAAACATGTAAAGAATATATAAACGCTCATGATTATATCCTCTACATTTGGATGATGGTTATATCGTTGTTTAGATTCTTAAAACCCTCCAAACTCTCATGAAAACTGTTTTTGTTTGAGTGCAAAATAATAATAAAAAAAAAATCATAGAATAGAAGTACAAGTGTGAAAAATGTAAAAAAAAAAAATAAATAAATAATATACAAATGCTCATAATGATAAACTCTACAACTTTTGTAAAAAGGCCAACTCTGAAATTTGACACCATAAACCCTAGATTTATATTTAAATGTCCATTGTCATTTACATTTAAACTATATTCTACTCACTAGATTTCGTGTTTTTTTTTTTTTTTAGATTTTCTTTTTAGAAAACATGATCTTTTGGTGGATGCAGAAAGATAAATGGTTCGGATTGTTGATATCACGTTCCGATATTTACGATTAACTCAAGCATGAGTTGATGTTATATAGTTTCTAGAGACTTTATAAACTCCGAGGAATACTTTCACTAACCGTAAAATGTGAATGTGATATCAACGATCCAAACCGTTCAGCTTTTTGCATCCGCATATCATGTTTTCAAAAAAGAAAATATGAAAAAAAAAAAGAAAGTGAAATTTGGTAAGAAGAATGGATCATAAATGTAAATGACAACACACGGTTAAATATAAATCTAGAGTTTATGGATTATGGTGTCAAATTTTAGAGTTGTGACACATTTCACGAAAGTTGTAGAGTTTGTCATTACGAGTGTTTGTATATTTTTCTTTATTTTATATTTTCACAGTTGTACATTGATTATGATGAAATTTTTATTAATTTTCACTTAAACAAAAGTACTATTCATGAGGGTTTGGAGGGATTTAAAATCCAAACGACGATGTAACCATTGTCCAAATGTAGAGGATACAATCACAAACATTTGTATTGACATCCCTACCCAAATAGCCGTCAAACCACGGGTGGTGATGTGTTAAGCTATCACCAAATTAATAACATAACATCTTTAAAATGATAACAAAACATCACCAATATGATGACAGAGCCATAGGTAAGGAAGTAATGCTGTGAATAAATTTGAACTAAACAACTCATTATTATTAACTACTAAAATTATCCTGCAAGTCACTACAACACCCTCACCTCTGGGTGACACATTAGGGTTCATCAATTCAGAGCATAACAGTAGTGCATACATCAGTTATCACAAAAGTATGTGTTGTGCTCTAGGCATAATCGAAGGTATGACTATGCATTATTACAACTAGATAAGAACATAGAAGACAGATAAATCACCCTACTTTGTAAGATGACTGCACTATTACCAAGCCCACTCGTTGCCAAATGTCGCCTTGTTCTCACTTATTCTCACTAGGTACCTATGGGACTGCAATATATACTAACATCTAGTAGTGCGAGTACAAGCATGCATGTGTACGTACGGGCATCTACCTATTTATTGATAGCATCCACAAGCAAAAAAAATCTACTAGCATCTATAGTGCATCTAGCCTAAACTAGATAAATAACACATGCAAGTATCCTATGGCCACAAATAGCTATACTCGATCTGTAAGAGACCATGTGGTGAAAATAAATCATAAATATAAACAAGTCAATCATATGATCATCTAGTCATTTCAATATTAGTCTCATCCACTCAAAGAAATTCTGAATTTTTCTCTTCAATAGGTGTCATGTTTTTATCTAGGCTACTCAAGCTTGCACCTTAAAAACATTGTTTTAGCACTTAACTAAGTAAATTCTAAAGATCTCTAATTCAAATGTGGTAAACCACTCCAATTTAGCAAAAACAGAGTCCACCACGTGATTCGGAAATTCAAATAACCTTTGATTGGGTCTCGGGTCCCCACGTGTTGCCACACGCTGCACATACTATCACACATTGCCACGCATTGCCTCAGTGACCTTGTGCCGTCACTTGCTGGTGGATGCACAGAACAACACAGAGGTCAAAACCTCAAATTTAAGCTCAAATTTGACAAGAAGAGCAAGGAAAGGATACCTGACATTAAGTAGAATCAAATTCAAGCTTGTTTGACCTCGAATTCGTCGGGTTCAAACTCGAGCATGTCGTAGAGCCTCGGTGAATGAGTTTCTCTTTTCCCCAATTCTGATTCTCACATGCAAGACCATTCTCGTGATCCTCAAGTCACCTATAGAAAATATGGTGGTTGTGAGGTGGAGTTTGATCAGGATTAGTGGTGGATTGGGTGGTTGTTCACGGTGGTTTAGAGAGAGAGAGAGAGAGAGAGTGAGAGAGAGAGAGAGAGAGAGAGAGAGAGATTACGGAAATGAAAAAGAGGAAAGAAAAGTGATCGAGGGTGGGGTTATGATCCCTTAAATTTTTCCAAATGAAAATTACCAAATTGCCATTCTTGATTAAAAAATTATAACTCATTCTCCGTAACTTCAAATTTGATTCTACTTTCACCCACTCACTTGTGAGTACGAAAACCAATCTAATAAAATTAGAAAACTTGTGAAATTAGAATTAAACTCAAAGGTCCATAATTATTCAAGACACCCACACTAGGGGCATTTTGGTCATTTCACACTTCTTAAGCATAACTCATAAGATACATTATTTTAAGGTATAGGTTATAATGTATATTTTTTTTTTCAAATTTTTCACACGTGTACATTAGTTATTATGAATTTTTATTTATTTTGAACTCATCCTAAAAATACTACTCATGAGGGTCTGGAGGTTTTAAAAATGCAAACGACAATTACCATCGTCAAAGCATAAAGGATGTGATCATGAACTTTTACCTATTTTTTTCAAAATTTTCCTAGTTCTAAATTAATTATTACAAATTTTTTTAATATGCTTTGGTATTTTGTAAAAAAAATCAAAATAAATTAAAAAAAAATGATTTTGTATAAAATCAATTAAAAGTTATGATATTAATAATAGGTCAATCAAATTTATTGGAATTATAAATAGGTCAATGAGATGTTAAGATACATTAAAACAACTCAATTAAATTAAAATTACAAATGATGCCATTACCATTTAAAACACCAAACCTTTCCATCTCCTACATTGTAAATCGCGTCTCCCACCACCTTCGGACTTCAACCTCCCCGCCTCCCACCACCTTCAACCTCCATTTTTCGGACACTACAACACATTGTCTGTTTATTGTTCTGTGATTGTGCATTCATAATCAAATAGGTTTGTGGATTCAAACATTTCGTTGCAGTTTGTTTTGTGACTGTGCATTCGAATTCAAATAGATTTGTTGATTCATGTTTCTGGTTCTGTGGATTCAGACACTTCGTTGTAGTATTTATTTCCTATTCTGTGATTGTGCATTTGGATTCAACTAGGTTTATGGATTCAAACATTGCAACTGTTTTCGATTCTGTGGATGCAGATGCTTCGTTGCAGTGTCTGTTTCCTGTTCTGTGATTGTGCATTAAGATTCAAATAGGTTTGAGGATTTAGACGCTGCTTGCAGTGTCTATTACTTGTTCTGTGAATTCAGATGCAATGTCTATTTCATGTGCCCAAAATTGAGTCCTTCCTCGACAATTCAATCTAAGAAATTCGAAATTCGACCCTCAATTCAATTTTTGCAATTTTTCCAGAAAGAAAGAAAGAAGGAGAAAAAAAAAAAAACTTATGAGAGAGAGAGAGAGGGTCTGACGACGGAACATCCCGATATGAAATTCTCACAACCTGATCCGAAGCTAAGTGTTTGCCTGCCGACCCAACTGACACTTAAAATTCAAAATTTGAACTCTCTCTTCCTGTTCCTCCAACTGAACTGAAATTCCTAAAATTCAAACAAACACAACACAAACAAACCTTAGAAAATAAAAAATCTTCATCTAATCTGGTCCCAATCCCAAATGGCCGCCACCAACTCTTCTAATTCCTCGATTCACTCCACTCTTTCTCCACTCTCATCCGTACGCATGCTCTTCCTCTTTATCCTTACCATTTCTTTCTCTTTAACTTGTAATTTCATGTTTATAAATCTTTTAAAAATGTTTTCAACTTGGAATTTGGCTGTTCTTCATAACCAAATCTACTGACCTGAGATCGAGTCCTCCGTCGAACCTCGGCGGTGATCGCAATCCCGGAAAGTTTCGAAGCTGAAAGCCCTCATTATTCGATTCCGGTGTTTCTCTCCCCTGAAAGGTCTGAATCCTAAGCTTCGGAAGTTAAACTACGGTGATGCGACGATGGAGTGCGATTAGAGTTCAGAAGGGAGAGTCTGCGAGCTCTGATTATGAACTTTGGGTTCCCTTTTTCTTCGAAGTGCGATCAGACACTTCCTTTCTTTTTCTTTGGAGGGTATTTTGGTGTTTCCATGGATTTTATAATGACTTAAAACTTATGTGGCATTCATCATTGATTTATGCCTGGTTAATAAAAATATATCATTGATTAAGTTCAAAATAAAAATATATCATTGATATATGGCTTAATAGTAAAGTTTTTATTGACCTTTGGCTAAATTACCTTTAAAAAAAATCATAATAATTATTTTACAAATGTAAAAAATGGTAAACAAATATGTAAACACTCGTGATCTCATACTCTACGCTTTGATGATGAGTACATTATCGGTTGGATTTTTAAAACCCTCTAAACCCTTGTGAACATTGTTTTTAGATGAAGTTGAGAATGCATGATAATTCATGATCGCATCCTTCAAGATTTGACGATGGTTACATCGTCGCTTAAATTTTTAGGGTTTAGGATATGTAGACACTAATTTAGTGACAATGTGGTATATAGATGCTAATTTAGTATGGCATTTTTCATTTGATTATTTATTGAATTAATATATATTTTCTTTAACGGGTCAGGTTATATTACCCATTAATTTTAACGGGTCGAATTCGGGTCAGGTCATATTACCCGTTCATTTTAATGTGTTTGACATGACACTATCCGTTAGGATATCGGGTATGTCATGAAACGACACGAAAGCGACAAACATGACATAATCACCAGGTCTAATATTGAGAAAGTTAAAATATAGTCCTTACACCACTAAAGATCAAAACTTATAGCCAGAACAAATTTATTTTATATAAAAGGTTTCATGCATACATAAGAACTTTGTACAACTTACTTTCAAACAATTACTATATATACTTAGATTTTTTTTTGTTTTTGAAAAGTAACATTCATTAAGGGGAAAAAAAGATTACGCAGGGCAAACACAAAGGAAGGTAAAACAACCCAAAACACATTGGGGAAATCCCAATACACATAAAGCACAATCTAATAAGAAAAAAGACAAAACACTAAGTAAACCCTAATCTTTATCATAACGCAGTAAATAACTGCCACTACCAAGCACGAACGACTTGGCAGCAGTCACCAAGGTAGCCACACTGAAGAAAATGATCGAGTGGTCAAATAGAGACCAAGACTTTGCAACATGAAATTTAAAAATGCATAACCAAAAGTACAACACAACCATATTATGTCACTAGAAACATTGCACCAAGAGATAGTCACTGGATCCAAATCACTTTCACCAACCCCTGAAAGGATATACAAACACAATAACATATGAAAAGGGGTGAGGCTAAGTGGTATGTGAAAAACCCTTACGTAAAAACCTTAGAACATTTGGCCCCGAGGAAAATTTGGCATTTCAGTCAAGGGAGGGGCATTGAAAGAAAGAAATGAATTTGATATCCATCTTTGGTTCGTTGCTCATATATCTGATTAAAGGTTAGGGTGGAAATGAATTATGAGGATGAAAGGTAGAGGGAAGAGATAGGGGACGATGGAAGTTTGGGTTTGAAAAAGGTGGAAAAAAAGTGTGAAAAAAGTAATGAATTAAACCATAAAAAAAATCGACTCTCAAAAAGACAATAGGAGGAAACGACTGAGGGGGGGAACAAATTGGGAGTTTTTTTAGAGAGAAGGATGAGTTTTCTCTCTAGGAAGCTGTAAACTGACCAGCAACAGAATTCCATTTTAATAGGGTTTAATTGTGTTAAACCTGCGGCGGTGGCATCACAAGTGCTAGCATAGTTGATCATTCCATTCAAACCAAAACTCAGCCATTTTATCATTTGTGATTAGCTTAATCATAATCAAGGACTAATTAGTTAATTGGGGGTTTTGTTAAGTGAAGTAATTAGTTAAGTTGCTTTGGCTGCCAACTAGCAAATTATGTATGGGCTGTATATGTTCACACTTTAGGTGTGATTTTGGCCATCGGTCATTTTAAATAAAAAACAATATTACAAAAACAAGTGGAGCTCAACTCTCTCTTCTGTCATTTCTTCTGTCATTTCTTCATTTTCCTCTATTGTTACTGTTATACTTGCAGGTTAAGTAAAGATTAGGTTTAAGTCATAACAATTAGTACCATTCATCTCGATTCTGGTTTCCCCTTTGTATACCACACTCCCCGAACAACTCTCGAACTGCTACCATGAATGAGCTTCTAGCTACCTTGGAATCTTCCATGGATGCTCATTTTACTACTTGTGGATCGACAATTGCTGTCGCTTTATTTGGGCACTCTATGGCCATGGATACTAAGTTGCCAGTCAATTTTGAGCAATTTTTCCAGGAACTTTCTTATGGTGGTGGGGAGTTCTTCCTTTGATCTAAATGCTTAGGGCCCAGATTTAGTGGTTCATCCATCAATTATTGCTAAGGAAGCTAACTTACGTAGCTTGAACACTCTCAGACATCATCGTCGTGATAATTTCGATGGCAGTGGCTTTACACCTAGTCCCAATGGCAATATCGATTGAATTTTCCAAGATTCTATGAGAAGGGTGACCCGCTAGCATGAATCTATAAAGCGAAACAATATTTCTCCTATTACACTGTCCCTGAGCACCAGAAAATTGTCACTGCTTCATTTTACAAAGGTCCTTTGCCAGGAGTTTGGACCATCAGAATTTGAAGATAGCATAAAGGCCTTATTGAAGCTACGTCAAACAAGTACATTGAAAGAATACCTCATGGAAATTCATAGGCTTGTTACTAGATCTACTGATGTTGGACTCATATTATTGAAGAGTTGTTTCTTGGGTGGTCTGAAACATGAAATTAAGTATGATGTTAAATTGCTTAGGCCTACTTTTGTTCATGAAGCAATTGCTTTAACTGTCCAAACTAATACCAAATTCAGTGATCTTAGAACAACCTTTTCTCATATAGCAAAAGTGTATGCTCCAGTGTCCAATGTTATTGCCCATAGACCTGGAGTTGGTACTCTTCCTTTACAAGGAAACTTAGTCTTGAAGGAATCTAATGTAAGAAGAACAATGAAGAGTGTTGGTTCTG